TAATCTAAACACGTTTTAAACACGTTTTAAACACGATATACTCACATTGTTTTTCAATGTCGATGCCATGGTTGTTGATCAATCTAGTGAAAAGGTGGGAAGAGTAAATTTGAAGTCGGTGGAACTATTTGTGGGTGTGCCGAGGTTTACCCGACTCATCCGAAGTTTTCCCTACCTCAGGTGAGCTGCATCCTGCGCCTAAACCCTGGGAACATGTTAGGAACATATTTAAAGAGCGTTTAAAATAGCTACCTTTGAGTTGTTTCCAGCACATATTAACAGTCACTGTTTCAAATCCTTCTCCATCAAGATGGAACCATTTAATAGGTCTTTGGAGGATTTGAGATATTAGATTAAACACCCTTATAAAGCAAAGGGTATAGGTCTAAGGATTACTTGTATTGACAAGTACTCGAGCGAGTGTAAAAACTATATAAATAGGTTAGAAACAAGGTAGGAATATAATAGAGTAACTACTACCTTTTCCGTGATCTTTCAGCCATGCTGCAAAGATAATTTCGTTTAGGTCTTTCTGTCGAATACGCTTGAACGACATGTTAATCTCAAAATGAGTTTGTTTAAGAAAAACCTCGGCCTGTTGGTTAAGAAAGCAGATCGCTATTATACTATCGCGATTATTATAGATTTTTTGAATATATGCCTGAACATGTTAGGAATATGTTTCTAAAGGGTTTATAAAGGGTTTATACTGTCGTTGGATCTTGGTGACTTTGTCTTTGCTCAAAAAGTAGACCGGCAAAATGTTTGCCCTCTAGATAAGACAACAGCTTCTCCTTCTGGATAAGAACTGATATTCTATCCATAGTAGCAAAGCTATTATGAATTTATACCAGAGATTTTGAGTCATATTTCCGACAGAACTCTTTTAGAGAATCACTTCGAAGGAATTTCGCTAGAACATGTTTAGGAGATATTCAGAAAACGTTTAGAAACGAATTTACCAAGTGTTAAGTCTGGATCCCGAATCCGTCGAATCAGATGCGTAATCTCTTCTAGTATCCGCTTTGGAGCCTTATTTGGAGGAGGCGGGACATGAGTATGTACACCATGAGACGTAAATAGAACGTATGGTGTTGTAGAAAGGTCATCGGGGATAAAGATGTGAAAGGTAACACCACAGGAAGCAGATACTAACTTTCCGGGACCCTGTGGATGATCAATACCTTAGGAAGATAATTAGAAATCGTTTATATTATGTTCCAAGCGTCTTACATACCACATGTTGGTCTTCGAGTCGACTGCTGCTTAACTACTCCGCACTCCTCTTACTCTACTAGTATACTATTCTCGATAAGGCTTCGAAGATGACCAGTATCGAATTCTCCGTTTGGCGGTAAATACTTCATAAAGTGTCTACTTATTGTCTGAATGGTGGAGTTACTGCAACTTAGATAAGGATGGCAGATACCAGCCATGTCCTATAGATTTTAGAACTCTTTAGAACGTGTTTAAAATATATTCAAAATATATTTACATACCGGTGTCACCAATTGACGAAAAACTAGGCTGCACGTATCGTTCTGTTCCTCACACGCAATACCAGTACGGAAACGATGTTGCGCCCCGATAAGAAGACTATCTCTAACTATCAGTTTAGTACTAGTTATATTCGGAATATGTTTCAAGCCTATTTGAATTTCGTTTCCTTTTATCAGGTTCTGTTCGATTAATCTAATTTCTTTTTTGTTAAATTAAGGTCCAGTCATTTTCGGAAAGTGAAATATGCGAATATGATTTAAAGAAATTATAAGTTCAACCCCCTGTCAAGTAGCCAACCACTCGAGTAGCCAGTATCACTACCTCTATCACCATCTCTCTAACCGCGATATCTCCACCACCGTACAATATCATGATACCAAACTCGGAAGACCCGGTCCAACAGGCTATTGATGCCTTACAGACCGGTCAATGCAAATCACAAAACGAAGCTGCGGCGCTATTCAAGGTCAACCGACGCACCCTTCAAACCCGCCTAAAAGGCCGCCTACCACGCGTAGTAGCTCAACAATCTCGCCAACGCCTTACACCGGACCAAGAATCCTTTTTAGTCGACTGGATACTTGAAAATGACGCTCAAGGATTCCCCCCTACTCACGCACGGCTTCGCGAAATGGCATCTCGAGTTCTACGCCTCCAAGGAGACTCAACGCCCCTCGGGAAGAACTGGGTAACGCGTTTCCTACACCGTAATCCACGCGTTGCGACCTGTATCGGGCGTAGTCTTGATGTTGCCCGACGTCAGGCTGCAACTAAGGATACAATCGACGCGTTCTACACGTATTTTCACCAAGTTCAAACTCAGTACGATGTCCACCCCTCTGATACCTGGAATATGGATGAGGTTGGTATAGGACTAGGGATTTGCGCTAATTCTACGGTTATCGCAGACTCGCAGAAGTCAACGGCCTATATCACTAGTCCTATGGGCCGCGAATGGATTAGTATCGTTGAAACTGTCTCCGCGACCGGCCAGTACATCAGACCAGCGATTATACAGAAAGGCGCCACGTTACAGTCTTCTTGGTTCCCTGAACAACCTCCAGACTTCCATTATACGGTATCAGAGAACGGCTGGACTTCAAATCAACACGCGTTGGTTTGGCTCCGTACGGTTTTCCTGCCTGAAACCGCTACACAGCGGCAGTACCGGATTCTGCTAATGGACGGGCACGGGAGCCACGCAACCATCGATTCCTTGTACGAATGCAAGATAAACAACGTAATCGTGGTCTTCCTACCTGCACATACCTCCCATATCCTTCAACCTCTGGATCTCGCCTGTTTTTCGCCTCTAAAACGCTTTTATAAGACCCTCCTCCGCCAAAGCGCGTATATCGACGAGGCCCTACCGATTAAACGACGGAGATTCATTGTCCTCTATGCAGAGGCACGTCAGGCACGCCTAACCGACCGTACAATCAGATCTGGGTGGAAGGCTGCAGGACTTGTGCCGTTTGACCGGTCAAAGGGCCTCAGTAACCGCTTCGTTGTACCGTCACCGCCTACCGTAACCGCACCACCAATTCCACCACCAAACACGCCTCCACGCACCCCCATACCAGTCCCCTCCGTTCTCCAGACGACGCCCTACAAGCCAAAACAGGTACAGAGTGCATTACGCGTTCTTAGCAAGAATACACGCGTGGCAAAGACGACGAAGTCGTATATAGAGAAGGCAGCCAAGGCGATCGGAGTGCAACAGGCGCGTCAGGCCTCATCAGATCTGAAAATCGCGGGCTTACAGGCACGCTTTGATGCTGCTACAGCACCAAAACGTAAAAAGAAAGTTCAGATAGATCTTAATCAGAGGTTTGCGCAAGTTCGGGAGATCAAATTGGCACAAGAAGCTGTACGAGCGGTAGAGGAAGATTACCAACGAAGACATCCAATTTCGGAGGCCAAATCTACATCAGAGTCTCTCCAAGCTGTATCTTTTGAATCATGCTGTATAGATTTCCAAATATAATATGTTTTAGTAGAGATATTGCTGTCTGACCGATGGAGGTTGAGATGGTGATACTGGCTACTCGAGTGGTTGGCTACTTGACAGGGGGTTGAACTTAAACAAATTCATAGTGCTTTACTGCTGTGCAGCCAAGTTTGATCTTTTTCCCGCGTATATTTCCTAGATAGGTACATATCATGGACTTTGGGGGATGTATTTTTTTGAAGGAATATTGGATCTAGATAGATTAGAAGTATATTTAAAGCGTTTAAAATAGGATAGGAATATCTTACATCAATGTTAGTTGGATTTTTTTGACCTTCAACATTGATGCAATATGTGTACCCATGTGGATCCGTTTTAGGGTAGTCTGGTAGGACAGCACAATGCTCTAGATAGAGCGTCGATAGAGGGTAATATACTGCTTTAGATAGAATAGTGATCTGATCGAGTGATACCTACGATCGATATAGTTGATTAGCTTCAGAACATGTTCTAAATATATTACGCAGGAAGATACTTACTTCACCATCCTCAATTGCAATATGTGATTCTTTATAGAAATCATCATCAAACATAAGCTGGAGATCTTCTTGGTCGACTTCATTACTCTCATCATCAGAATTCTCTTCAGATAGAAGGATTGGAGATTGAGCTACAGCATGGTTATTAATATACATATTTCAAACATGTTTGAAACATCTTACGCATTTTCCATATAGTTAGAGGGAGTGTGGGGTTGAATTGAGATGTGTGTATCCAGAAAGGTGAGCCGACCAACGTCGATCATAGATATAGGTCAACTGACCTCACGTGATTAACCTAACCCGATTAGGATGGTAAGCCGAACCTTTTTCAGGGTCAGCCGAGCTGTCACCACGTTGTTCCAGCAGCGAAGTTGTTGTATTGTTGTGAGATCTAGGTATCTGAAAGTTGCGTTCAAGTTGCGTGTTCTTATGTCAATGCCTGGTCCCCTGGCCCTCAAGATATATGAGATTCGTGGCAAGTTTATTAATGCAGTTTGTAGCCTCGAGCTCCCTTAGATGAAACCTTGGTCTGCGACACTTCTCCTTCTCTCTTTAGCAATTCAACAGCGTTACCAGCTTACCAAATCCTTCGTGGTTTGGGCCCATGACAACACCATCTGTAATAGCTTATACGCTGGGGGATCTATATCGAGTCAGACAGCATTGTCTAAGCTCCGAATTCTCGCTCTCTGGATTGACCGGAGCCCACTGTCGGAACTCCGCGGCTATTACTTAGTCACCGCACCTTGTAGATTACATAAGATTACATAAGCCTTGGTATATATACCCGTCAAGGTAAACTGTACTTCTGACCGAATACAAGCATCTCACTGCCTCTGAACAGGTATCCTATTGTTTCCGTGATTGATTGACACGCCAAAACGATTAACACCCACGGAGACGGCAGAAATGGAAAGAAGTCTGTTAATTCATGAATCTCTCGGAAAAATTCATTGAATATGATGTAGAGACTCGTTGGAACTCTACCTATCGAATGTTAGACGACGGGTTAAAAGCAAAGGCTCAGATTAATCGATACCTAGCCCTACAGACGGAGATACCTTCCTTTACCGCCGAGGAATGGCAGCACCTGTCTCAGATTCATCAAGTACTGAGCAAATTCAACGAGCTCACCCTGTTCGTATCAGAGCGAAAGCCACAGATCAGCCTTACTGTCCCACTCTATTATAAGCTACATGATTTACTCAATAAGGGGTCTGAAGCTCAGGGAGTCTTTTCGGGATTAGATCGTGATATTGCCCGAGCAATTAAGGAAGGAATGAAGAAATACGAGAAATACTACACCTTTATAGATGAATTAGATACCTACTATACTACTCTAATTCTAGATCCTCGGGTGAAAGGAGACCTAATCCTCAATGAATTAGAGGATAAAGAGGCTAGGAATCTAATATTAAGAGCTGTCCGTAACAGTCTTCATCAGAAATATCCACTTCGGAACCGCGAGTCGCCTAGAACGGTATTACAGCAGTCGGCATCAGAAACCAAGATAGTAGAATCCCGAATGCTCCAACGGCTACAGCCTTAAGCGGTGCCCCTTCTGTCCGATATTGATTGGTACTTTAATAGTCCTCGAGTTAGCAATATTGATACTACAGATCTGAATTGGCTTTGTAACTGGTGGCGAGTACACAAGGATGAACTGCCTTAAATGGCAGCAGCAGCAAGAGAGTATCTACCAATTCCATCGTCAGAGGTGTCAGTGGAACGATTATTCAATGCGGCAAGAGATATATTAGGTATCCGGAGATATTCGATAAAGGGTGAAACAATGCGGATGTTGATGTTGATAAATGATCCCTATCCAAAGCCCTAGAATTCCAGCAGCCAAGTTATCTAAAAATCTTTATAGAAATCAGATTAAAGCTAGTCCTAATGAAGTAGTTTACCGATTCACCGATTTCGCCGATATTGACCAAAATTTAACGGATAAAATATCGGTAGAATAGAAAGCTGCCGATATAAATCGGCGAATCGTATCCGCAAACCTGAAAGGTTGACGATATCGTATCCGTGCCGATATCGTATCCGCAAAATCGGGAAATCTGCCAATCGGGAACAGCCCTAACTATAGTTATACACTTGCTACGCCCTAACTAACTCCACAATTTCTTTGCCCCATATAGAATTTAAATATGAGACCAAGGGGAGCAGCTCATTTCCAAACGTCTTGTTTCATCACCCACTCAACGGCGAATCCTATGGAACTGTATTATAACCATGACCTTTGTCTCAAACCGTAACGAACTACGACAACCAATTTCAAGTCCTATCAACGTCATGCGTCTCCCTCGGGAAACGACAACGCGTCCCAATACACGCTTTATCAGGACATTCGTGTCCAAGAATGCATTTTGCATCTCTGCACTGGAGCCCAGACCGACATGGCGACTGGCGTGCGATCAATCGCCGAGCTTCAAGTCCTTTCTCATCAAGCCTACTTCCATGCACGTAGGTCTTCGTGCACTTAGGATAAGGGCACTCTCCTAGAATGTGGTACGCGTTACAGAGTTTCTTGTTTCTCTGGGCCTGCACGAGTGATTGAGGTGGGTTGAGGATCTCATCAAGGCGCTGGCCCTTGCTATTTTGTAGGATGGGGTAGTCCATACGAGCGGGTACAATTATAGTCGTTGAGGAGTGCCGACTTTTGTCTATTGTGACCGCAGTAGCATCGACAGGGCTTGCAATTGTGGTAGCGTAGCTAGGTGCCCTTGAGATTGGAGTAGGAGAGGGTGTCGTAGAGAAAGACACTCGCCGGGACGGTAGCTTCGTCCCTCTGAAGACATCAGGGAAATGCACAATGAGGAATTTGTCTTTTAGTACTGCCAGCTCCTTGGCAAATGGGGGTCCTTCTACTAGAACGATTCGTTTGCTCTTCGAGTTGCCTCCAATGTAAGGCTGGAGAAGTCGCGCGTAGCCGTCATCGGCGGATCCGCCGAATATGACCGCCTGGCACTGAACATCGGCCATATCGTGCTCGAACCATGCTAAGATGAACGTTAAATGTTGTCTTTCTCCTATGCCACAAGTTTTGATGTTACCTTTCAGCTTGGAATCCGCGCATTCCTTCCCATCGCCAGCATCTACGAAATCACACATAGGATGTCCCATGTTGAAACCACGAACGAACATCTGAAGACCATCTGCACTACCCAGAATCTTGTTGTAACAGTATGCGGATGCCAAACCCTTTGTGTTTGCATATACACGGACTCGGATTTGGATGTTGCTTGGCAAGTCAAGCTCGGTTGAAGCATACTCGCACACTTTGTTCCTCAGATGGCACGCTGCCTCCTTCCCTCCTTGTTGGGCAGATTCGACAAAGTGATCGACGAACTGTGAAGATATTGCAATAAGCAATTATACTCGAAACTGTGCCGATATGATGGGTCAAGATATAATGAGTGCTTACTTACCGGCACGCAATCGCCATCGATCAAAACTGAAACGAAGCCGTTAGAACCCTTTGTACTCAGTCAATAAACAGGTCTTATATTGTCATGTTCTGAGAAACGTACGATCTCCTCTTCCGTCTTCTTCAGCTTAACCTGAACATCATAATGCTTCGTTTGGTATAATTTAGTGGTCTCCTGTTCACGTTCAAGATGCCACTCTTTCTCTGTAAAACTATGCTGTATCTTCTCAACGCGACTGATCAGGTCCTGTAAATAAAGTGGCCTATTAGTAACAGTCTGCGAAACAGGGAACAGGCGTGTAAGCAATTAACCTCTATGAGTTGGTCCTTTCCTCCCTCAACTTCTTTCAACCTGTTGAACTGCTCCCGAAACGATTCAACAGAAACCATGGCTGCTAACGTCCACCTGAAATGTTATCACGGATACCTCTTATAGTACAATCAGAGATATGGAGATAAGTGAGGAAGATCGTGACTCGACGTTTAGATAATTTCTCCTTCGCTTGTAATCATGCGCCGTTGGACAGCTATGCGGCGTTTAAGTGGCTAGAGATCTCTGTTCCAGCAACTTTGTGACACAGCCAATGCAACCAACAATTTTCGCCCTGTTTGGTCTACGGCCACTGCGGCCTAACGAAACCGTCTACCCACCCTATAGGAAAATTCTGTGAGAGTGCGATGTATGCGAGCCCGGTGACTCACCAAAAAGTAGGTTACACAGCAAGCGTTTCGTCAAATGGCAGAGGGACACATCGCACTCGCCCAGTGGAATGCATTGTTATGGTCCCAGGCCTGCGGCCTGTTCCCTTGGTTGTGGCTGAAGACGTGGCTGGTGGATTATATCAGAGAAGCAAACAAACATGGTACACTAAGTAGACAAATGTCTGCACACACCCCCGAAAATCACCAAATCTAATCGCTATACACCGTATCTTGAGATACGCTGCAAAACACATACAAATGCAAATTCAGTCTACTTTTTTGATTTCTTAATTGGGAAATATCTAATATTTCGTATGCCACCCTTTTGCCTTGATTACCGCCCGTAGACGTCGCGGAATTGAGTCGATCAGCTCTCGGATCGTCTCCTGAGGGATCGCCCACCACGCCTCCTTTAACGCCGCATTCATGGCCTCCCGTGCCTCCTCCGAGGCGCCCATCGTCTTCAATTCAGGGTGCAGCTCTAGGACCTTTGATTTCAACAGATGCCATATGTGCTCGATGGGGTTGATGTCTGGGGAATTGGCCGGCCAATCGATGACCCAAATGCCGTGCGTCTCCAGCCATTCTTGGGTGATTTTAGCCGTATGGATCCTTGCGTTATCCTGGATAACAACATCCCCGGGTTCGTACGTAGGGAGAAGTCCCTCCTCTAACGTAGCGATGTAGGATTTCGCGGAATAGCCCTGTCTTGCGGAGGTTTCGTCGCCGTCCATGATCACCAGGCCTAACCTCCCATCACGCGAGATTGAGCCCCATATCATCTGTGAAATGGCCTTGCCAGAGGTCTTAGGCTCTACCATTTGCGGATCATATGCCTCGTGGTACAGTCGCCATACCCATACCTGCTTACCGCCCGCCCCCTTCTCATACGAGCACTCGTCCGTGGAGTGGGTCCGGGAGAAGTCGAATTCAAGGAATTCGTGGGCAAATCGGAGGCGGTCTTTTGCGTGGTAGGGCTTCAGGTAAGGCCTCTTCTTCGCTCGCCATTTCGTAAGGTGATATTTCTTAAGGGTTCGGTAGATAGTCTTCCTAGAAATGCGGAGGTACGAAATACCTGCGAGGAGCTCTCCATACTCCATTTTAGGAAATCGACGCGCGATTTGAACGATATGCCGTTCGTCAGGGCGTGATAGCTTATGGGGACACCCTTCACGGGGTAAAGATACGGTGGTTTGATGTTCTTCCCACCTCTCTAGAGTCCCATACACCGCGCTTCTAGAGACGCGAAAGTTCCGCGCGATTTCAGTCTTTGGTTTCCCATCTTCAGCAGCCTGAACAATCCCAACTCTTTGAGCGGCCGATAACTCCTTATTACGCCCTCGATTACCACTTATTTTTGTGCCAAAAGACCTCATTTTGGTAAAGTTATTGATTGTCAAAGTAAGGGGTGGGTGTAGAGATATTCAGCTGAGAATGGGGTCTGTGCGCAGACTTTTGGCTTAGTACTTTAACACAGCATTAGGGCATTGGAGAGGAGAGTCGCTATCTCGCGCACAAAGGTGCCGGGAGATTTCTTCTCTGTCGACTGTCTCTCTCTTCAGTTTAGATTAATGGAACTTCGTAATCGCAGACCTTGCGCATCCAGACCGTGTCATGCATATCCAGGACGCAGGGTGATCTTGTCGCATTACGCGTGGGTGATGCTTAAGCAGATGGGAGAGAGAGTGTGTTGATAGCTTAGCGTGTCTATCCACACGGAAGCAATAGGTTACGTGACGAAGAATGTAAAGTGCTTGTATTTCTGTAAGAAGTAGAGTACCGAACGAGGTAGATATACCTATGACTAAGTAATAGCCGAAGAGGGGAAACGAATGACTAAGTAATAGCCGAAGCGGGGAAACAGATGACTAAGTAATGACATCAGATCTTGACATTTCTTTTCCCAGAACCTTTTAAACCCTGTTCTGGGTCCCAAAACTGAGGATATTTCTTTGATAATATTTGGGACAAAGTCTATACCTAAATAAATTGATCGAAGCGTTGCTGGATATCCCGAACCAGAGTCGAAACCATCGTTGAAAAATTCGACTTGGATCAAGCCATATCGATCTTGGCAGGATATTTCCCGCCAAGATCGAAATCATGTCTTGGCATAAGCCCTCATGCCAAGGTATGGAAGGCAAACCAATGGTAGGTGGTTGATTTGAGACCAGGGGGTTCCCTAGAAGGATAAACTGACCCTTTTGATTCCGTCCTTTTCAATATCCAGGGAGGAGAAGGTTTTTTGTGCCTGCCATCCTGTCTTCATCCCGCCTTTCATGCTATATACCCGTGACAGCCATCAGTTCCTGGCAGTTCCCGGATGGTCCCGCTAAACGACTGTTCTGCGAAGTTGGTAGCTAATTCCTACCTTCAGCCTTGCTTAACATCGATCTATGATAATTTCCTTTAAGAACGGATATTGGCTCCAGTCGGGGATCCAACAACTACTCTGTATTCGGGAGGAGGACTGGAGGACATGAGCGATTCGGGAGAGCCCTCTCTCTTCTATGAGCCCTCTCTAATAGGCGTATCCACGACTCTCTGGTTCAAGTATGTGGGAAGGGAGAGATACATTTCACTAAATCTGCATATGTATGGCACGCAAATGCATGAATTCAGAACCAGTGCACAGAGATCCACTGCTTAACTGAATCCGCCTTGGGCCATCCCAGCATTTCCAATCACCGGTCAGTCCACTATGGCCTTTTTAAGGGGATATGGCGGCAGAAGGAGAGTCGAAGAGCTTGGGTACACTTCCGCGATGAAGCTTCAATGGCTAGTTGAGGCACCATACATGAACCTCCCCGCACCTCCATTATCAAAACATCGCTGACCGGTGCGAGGCTCTGCATACTCATAGTTATAGTCATTATCTCCGTCACACCATATATAGATTCTATGATACCACGTTCCTATTCTTCCGCCATTCTCTATTTTCGCTTCCGGTTTCGTCTTCGGTCATCGTAATCGCACATGGCAGAAGCGCTCGCGATTGTTGGCGCACTCGCTGCATGCTTGCAGCTCGCCAAAGGATTTTCAGAACTCGGCAAGTCGATTGTCGCAGCCAGCCAGGGCATACGCTACGTACCAGAATATATTTCGGAACTGAAAGATAGCGCGGAGTTGTTTACGATAAGCCTGAGAAAACTCGTCAGAGCTGCGAAGAAAGCATATAGCGATAATAAAGAATCTACGGAAGCACGCGAGACTGCAAAAGCGATGGATATTATCAGATCTCAAGGCAGGAAACTGAAACCAAAGATTTACGACCTTGTAAGGCAAGTCGAGGGCAGGCTGTTCTCCTCGACATTTTCGCAATTGTTTAGCAAGCTTCGTGTACTGTTCAAGCAGACGGGTGTGCAAAGCCTTCAGAATTCCTTACACAGGTTGATGCATACTACCCACCTACTCGGGTCGGGTATCATCCTTGACACACTTCTCGCACGAATCAAGAAGCTAGAAGATGAGGATATTCCTGTTTCAGAGGATTTAAGAGACGAAGTGTAAGTACTATGATTACAAGTCTGCAAATCGATTGTCGCTGATGCTGGCCGTAGATCATTGCTTAGACAAGAGATTCAAACCCACAGATCCATTGCGAAAGACTTAGAAAAACGACTCAAGGTTCAAATTGAGGGCTCGAGTACTGGAGACAGTCTTTCGCGGGATATGGCGAAAATGCTAGATGCTTCACAAAAGCTCGATCATTACGTGGAAAGAACAGTCTCTAGGGTCGCCCCCGAATTGGTTGCGACACGTAGACGGAAGAGGAAGGTTCGCTCGTCTAGACCACCGAGATCTCTACGGGAGTCGTATCTAAGCTCCTACCACGCTTCGCCTCTACATTCTACTCCACCAACCTCCCCTTCGAGTGCTAGGCATTGGCAGCAAGAGCGAAGTCGGGGCATTCGAGAATTACCTAGAACACGCAGCACTACTCCGCCATCCCAAATGGGGCCTCCACTTTTTAATGTCCCCGAACGACGGGAAAAACGAATATATGTTTCATCCAATCGTGTAGTGAACAATGCTCCCTCGGAAGGAGTTGAGGCAGAGGAAGCTATTCTAGAGGTGTCACCATTAAGTACAATTGGACCTGTCATTATTGTGAACGAGAACAATGAAGTCGAGGAGCAGCATAGGGAGTGGCACCTAGACGCAAGTATGCTGCGCGACGCAGAAGAAACAAGCCTCCTACCTACTGTTTTGGCCGAGGAGGAAGTAGCCGCCCAGTCGGAACGACGTGTTCAGTTGGAGGCGACCGACGATGACCATGATTCCAGAAGTCGAGAGACCGGTTTTGTTGAAGGTCACTCCCGTCCCCGAATCGTTTGCGAAGATGACATCCAGTCACTTAATAGGACGAACGATTCATCGTCCTTACAAAGTCATCGTCGACCACGCGCTCATCGAACCAACAGCAACTCTAGATCGGTCGATATTTTCTCGCCGCCTGAGTCTAAACAAAGACATGAAGATCCGGAAGTGGCTAGAGATGAGCGATATAGGCCCTTGGCTCCATTTGATCGCAACGATAGGAGAAAGTGGGGGAAGCGGCCTATAGGACCATAAAGTCGCACTCTAGGTCCTAGCCGCCCTGCTGGCGGCTATGCAGTGTATAATTATAAATAGGGTGCCCCCGCCCTTCGCTTTCAGAAGTCAAGCCGTTCCTTGCAAGCTACTTCCTCTTCTGCTCTGAGCAGTTCCACCTAATAGCTTGAATAGTTGTTCTATGTCTATGTACTTGTTTGTGACAGTCTTGGGCTTTGCCCAGTCTGTGTGTTGTGGCCTTGCGGCCTAAGGCAGAAGGGATGGGTAGACCGTTTGCCCATAGATGTAAAT